CCATTATACATGTCTCGGTGCATGACGTTTTCTCTGCTTAGTTGCTCCTCTTCTGTCTGCCCACCATTTCTACCTGTCTTAACATTATACACCCCTCAAGGCCCTCTCAAACATCATGTCTTCTGTAAAGCTTTTCCTGATTTCTCAAATTAAAAGATCTTTTCTTCTGAGCTCTCTCTTAACAGCGGTTATTAATATTTCTTTGGCACTTATTCCAGCTCTTTTGGTGACTTCTCCACTCAGCTGTGAGCTTCATGAAGACAGGCAGTTGTGTCTTACTGTGTCTCCTTTAGCACCTAGCACTTTGCCTTACACCCCAGGAGGCATTCCGTAACACTTCGTTGGGTTGACTTTCTGTTAAATCGAGCATACATGGTGTAAAGACCAGCAGTATTTCTCACTGAGGGCGCTGTTGGCATCCCGGATGGGACAGCTGTTCGCTGTGTACGACTGTTGCATCAGTGAGGAACTCCCGTGTCTAGTCCCTGCTCAGTTCATGCTTGTAGCCACCCCAATACTGAAGATACATCCTGCACACTTAAAACTGGCCCCCGGTGGTAGAGGTAGTGGAGAGGGAGGAAGGACATTTTGAGGTTAATTAAGAGGGACAATTCCTTTTTACTGTGCAAATATTGGCTTTTGTGAAATTGGATAAAGCAGGAAATGTAGAAATTTTGTATTCTAGCATCAATTTTGCATTTTGGCTTTACTGCTCATTAGGGCGCCCCCAGTTTTAAAATGTGCTATTTGGGATGGAAGTACCAGAATGTAGGCTGCACGAGAGAAGACTGGATAGCGCCTGTAATATAGAAACTCCTCAGTCTGTATTTGTTGAGTGAATGAATGAGGTTTGCTGGACACAAAACCAGAGGTGGAACAGAACCTTAGACCCATTTTGAAGCTACCACCAGTCCTCAGGTGTGTCCCATGGGCCCCGGAAAGAAAGTAACATGAAAGCCAACTCATTGCCAGTTTGAGATGAGAACATTTCAAACCTCAGACAAGGAGAACTGGAAAATTACACAGGGTTCCACCATAACAGAAATTTCTTACTTTTGTTTCTCTCCACGTAAAGTCATCCTTTGGACTTTTTGGACCATTTCCCTTCATACCAGCACCACTTATAACACTTTGCTGTTTAAGGATTTTCACTGTGATGTTGAGTTCTGGGACTGTTTTGTGTCTAGCAGGGGGTGGGGGCTGTTTTTTATTCTGTTTGTTTATTTGTTTGTTGGGGTTTTTGTCTCTCATCCAGTACCTCCTACCAAGAGATGTGTGTATTATAGTTTAAGTCGTGGCTCACACGCTGGGTTGCCGATGGCTGTCTCTCCTGGGTTTTGTTAAGCTACGAAAAACATGTTATGACCTGACAGTCTTCAAGAATGTGGATCATGGAAGAAAGCTGGACAGTCCAGGCCACCCTCATGGGATTTCCTGGTTAGAAGAGATTGTAGCTGTTACAAATAATGCCATTGGATGCCGGTGTTTTCTGGAGCCACAGCAATTGAGAGAAATGTGATTTGCATAGATTGAGCATATATCAGTACCCCCAAGTATCAGTTTTCATCTAAAATGTTTTGGGATCATAACGGTCTTTGTCTTCTCCCAGCCATCTCTATTTGCTAAGTCATTTAACAAATTCACTGCATGCTTACTGGTATCATGTACTGGGGTGAGCGTTGGGAATACAAAGATGAGTAAGACCTTACCTTGCCTTCAGGAATTCAAGGTGTAATTGAGGAAACTGACACAGAACAGAACACAATAATAGAATATGAAAACTAAAATAGTGTAAATGGGCACAGGGCTTTCTAGAAGTTCAGAGCAGGGACACTCGAGTGGCAGTAAGGATCAGGGGTGGTGGGAGAGGATAAGGAAGGCTTCCAGAGAAGTGACTCCTAGACTTTTAAAGGATCCAGAGAGTTAAAGTTGGCTAAGACAGGGGCAGGCATTCTAGACAAAGACACAGGGGTGGGGCTTCCCTGGTGGTGCAGTGGTTGAGAGTCCGCCTGCCGATGCAGGGGATGCAGGTTCGTGCCCCGGTCCGGGAAGATCCCACATGCCACGGAGCGGCTGGGCCCGTGAGCCGTGGCCGCTGAGCCTGCGCGTCCGGAGCCTGTGCTCCGCAATGGGAGAGGCCACAACACCGAAAGGCCCGCATACCGCAAAAAAAAAAAAAAAAAAAAAAAAAAAAAAGACACAGGGCCCAGGGACAGAATGGTGAATTCAAGGAACAGGAAGCTATTCACATCAATAGACTGACAAATTCAGATGTGACCAGCGGATGAGGGAATGTGCAGGGATCAGACCAAGCAACCCATGGGGGCCTTATTGAGGATCTCAGTTCATCTGAAGGGTCTGTAACAGTGCCTGGTATATAGGATGCACTCATGAAATATTTTTTGGAAGGGAGGGGGACAGGAAATGGGGCATCACTGAAGAGTTTAAGCAAAGGAACAACAGGATGAGTTTTTCCGTGTGTAGGCAAGATTGGGAGAATGATGCATAATCCAGGCTAGAGGTGACAGTGGCAGCCTGAAGACGGGAGATTCAGGTGGTGGCTTGTGATGGGGGATCTGAAGAATATATCTATAAGCTAGAATTAGCAGAATTTGAAAATTGACTGGCTCTGAGGGTGTGACAAAGAGAAGAGACATGAATAACACTCAGGTTTGACTTTAAAGACAGGGAGGATTTTTCAAAGTCTATTTTCAATTGAGAGCCAGTATTAGAAAAATTTATAATTGTGACAATGTAATTCGAGAAATGAAAACCAAGTCTAATTTTAATTTGATCTTATTATCCACTCCAAAGTACATAATGAGAAGATGGGCTTCAGGGAAAAGGGGTTCACTTTGCCTTGAAATTTTCAAGTAAGCAACAAATTCAATATCCAGCAAATACCTTTCATGATATTACTCTAATGTTGGGATTGATTTAATGCATTTTCCATAAGAGCTGCACTAAAACGGCAAAGCAACGGTCAGTAGCATTAATATTTTACTGCAGTTTCTTTCTTTGCCATTAAAACATCCACTGATCAATGGCAAAGTTTCATATATATGCTCCCACTAAATGAGCCCTACATTTAGTGAGCAGATTCTCCATTAAAACTAGTGAGTCAACGAGTCTTTAATAAAGGTTTTTATCTTTGGTTGATAAAATGATTTAGCTGTCATTACTAGTTAGTAATCCGGCTTTTTTTTTTCCCCAAAAAAATATGAATAAAAATGTTTTTGCTGTTGAGACCTTCAGCTTTGATACAGTGTATTTTTGCAGACTTCAATGGCGTGAAAGAGGCATGGGAGGAACTGGACATTCTTCATTGGAGGAGGCGTATTTGAGCCAAGCCTGAAGGAGGAGAGAATTCTGAATAAGCTGAGAGTGGAGGAAAGGGCGTTGGCTGGTAAAGGCCAACACCATACACGTTGCATGGCGTGCATTGTTTCAGCGGGTAGCGTTGTACATAATGGTGACAGATGGTAGGGTGTAGGGAGAGATGTGGAGTCTAGAAAGGCAGACAGAAAATCTTCTGGGGAAGCCTTGTGTATCCTTATCCTATAGGCAGGGAGAAACCGTCAGAACCCTTTGCATAGAGAAATGACATGATCAAATATGAGCTTTAGGAAGATCTCTCTTAAAGCAGCCTAGAAGATGCAGTGTAGACTGACGGCAGCAGGGAGGCCAGTTAGAAAGCCATTGCACAGTCCAGGTAATGGTTCCAGGCAGTTACAGAATACTGAGGGAGCCGTAGGAGTCTCTTTTTGGGGTTAAATGAAATAACTAGTCTCCTGTTGCTCATTCACTGCCTGGCATGATCACTCATGAGTTTTGGCCCTTGTAATAAACTCTTAGGTTTGTCAAGCATATTCCTCTGGTGTGACAGGCCCTGGATTTGTTGGCTTCACACTGGGCCCATTGTAATCACCCGATAAGTACTACCGATTAATCTGACCCGATAGCTGGGGCTGATGACTAAGAGCCATTGGGCTGGATTGAGAATTAGGGTCCTAGAGTTAACCCAAAAGGGAACACAGGGATCAGTGCATTTTACCATCTCACCTCATATAAGGAAACTGGGCCCCTGAGAGCCTGATAATTCAAGATGAATGTGTATGCGGCCCCAAACTTACTAACAGGCTGTTTCAAAAAGTGTGCTTAGAAATCGGTTATTTGGAATTTAAGAGGAACTTGCCTGATATGGTGGCCCTTTGTACCTCAGAGGCAGCTCTGGCTTCAGATCATGAGGCAAAAGAAAGATTTAGGGAATTAAAAAGTGGCTGTGGTCTCAGCTGCAGGAGCCCAGTTGTTACAGACTATTGCTTAGCATGGGCTTGAGACAAAAATAAATAAATAAATTTATTTTAAAAATAAATAAATAAAAGCCTCACAAGTAAGGGAACTGTCTCCTAAGTTCCAAGATTCCAAATCTGGTTGACCCCAAATTCCATGGAGCAGCTCTAGAATTGATTAGGATTTAAGAACAATCTGGCTACATAATCTGCCACCCATTTGATTGCCAGGATAAATTTGGCTTCTCTGATTGCCAGTGGTTACAAAATTTATTACCAAAACTTAGTAATATCAAACATATAACAGCTCTTGATATTTTACTGTTTAGTGAATAAAAGATAAGGTGCAAAAGTATATAGAGTTAATGGGCCCAATTCTTTAAAATAAATATATGATACACATGTGCTCACCACGTAAAGACTGGAAGGTAATGCATTAACAATTTTACATGTGATTATTTGGGTGGAGAGACCATAAGTTGTATCTTCTCTCTTACTTACACTTTTTGGTGTGCAATAAAAACGTGTTTTACTTTAATGATTCACAATAATAGCCATTGGTTAAAGAAAATGATCACAGCAGCCGTGTGACCCCTCCCTCTCTGGCCTCCGCAGCTCACCATCTGCTACCTGGATATGCTGATGACCAGCGAGGAGCGCCGGAAGCAGCTGAGGGACCAATACTGCTTTGTCTGTGACTGTTTGCGATGTCAAACCCAGGACAAGGTATGTTGTATGGAACCAGCTTGGAACACCTCCTGGGCAATGTCTGCATGGTTTTTCAGAGAACTCTGCTTTTATTTCATTAATCCAGAAGTAAATGACCCTCAGTGCCTGGTAGGAAACAAAGATAAATAAAATAATACATTGTGCTGCATATGTTTTATTTCCTGGAACTCTTATCACCCACCAGGCAGTAAGAGGTTTAATCTCAGGTAAGGATCCATGGAGTTTAGAGTCTAGAGGGAATGTAGGTGTAAAGTATGTAATTAAAAGGACACTGAATGGGCTTCCCTGGTGGTGCAGTGGTTGAGAGTCCGCCTGCTGATGCAGGGGACACGGGTTCGTGCCCCGGTCCGGGCAGATCCCACATGGCGCGGAGCGGCTGGGCCCGTGAGCCATGGCCGCTGAGCCTGCGCGTCTGGAGCCCGTGCTCCGCAACGGGAGAGGCCACAGCAGTGAGAGGCCCGC